GGAAGAGGGGGAAGCCATTGCTCTCGATTAAGCTACTAGCTTAGCTAGCTTCTAAACTAGCCGACCTAAAGTAGCAAGTTAAATTTGGTAGTTAGCAAGAACTTCTGCAAAACAAGTGCTTTAAGTGGTGCAAGCGTATGTTGTCACTCAAAAATTCAGATGAACCTAGAAAATAGTGAGTTTAATTCCTAAACAATCTGGAAGCAAGCACAACGTAGTGCAAATACAGAAAACAGGAAATGAGTACGGTTTACTGCAGGAAACAGCAGTCCGTCAAAGGTAGGTCACCAGGAGACAGAATAACAAGGGGAAGGAAAGGGAAGTAGCCCACGTTGGAAAAGTGAAAATATAGTTTGAAAATACACCAAATGATTCAGCCTCAGACTGAAAGATGCTGATATGAAAAGAGAAAGAGAGAGGGAGATCTCTCTAATTGGAGTGAATACACAGCTCGCTCCAGACCATTAGAGAGGCCCGAGTGGAGAGGGTTTGTTCCCAGGAGGAGAGCGCTTGTCTTATGCTCAGTCATGGGGAAGAATCTGGCAGGGACTCTGACAAGTGGAGAGGCGCCAGGGGAGAAGATGGGCCCCACTGTCCTGTGTTGCTGATGAGAAAGAGGGGAATAGGGGACACTCCTCGCGAGGGAAAGAAGAAAGAGGGTGGTAAAGACAGAATCAGTGCAAGAGGAAGAAACGAGGATGAAAGAGAGTCAAAGAAGGCAGTAAGATCGAGACACAGACAGGAGAAGGGGAAGGAAGACATTCTAACATTGTGAGAGGAAAAGGAGTCAGGAAGTGAAATAGAAAGAAGGGAAGAGAAAAAGTGAGGGGAAAGGAAAGGGGGGGGGGGGAGCTGTGTCGAGTGGAGTGGATAAGGAGGAGGAAGAAAACAGGAAGAGGGTTATAATGCTGCAGCCATCTCTGTTTCCTGTGTCCCTTGAGTGGACTTTCCTGATTGGTTAGTGAGGGTGCAGGGGGGAAGTTTACATCAAGGTTTGTTTTTCTTGAACAGAGACAGTTGACAGTATTGACCCCAAGACATGTTTTTTTTTTCTTTCATCTGAAAACAATCCATTATTGAAAGCAAAGTTTTTACCAGCCTGTCATGTGAACTCAAGCAGCCCTTCATGAATATCGGTGATCAACTGAACATAGTGTTCAGGTTGGTTGGGTTAGGTTTGCCTATTACTACCATTTGGAGTGGCACAAGCTGAAAATCTGTTCATTACTTTTCACTATTCCAACCATTCATCCATTGCTTTTAGCAATTTCAAATGTTTATCCATTCCTTTACACAAACTATTTGAAAATTTGATTTATTACTTTGCTTCTCTGCTCACTTTCAGTCCAAGGTTGCTCAGCATTTGGACGTGTTTTTTAAATCAAATTAAAAAGTTCTATTTTACCAGATTACTCGAGCTGCTTATAATCTTTCCTCAAATCCCATTGGCAACTGTACAAGTATCCCCCGGGTGCTGGTTAGAAAACACTACATTAGCACACTTATCTTCATTAAGTAGATGTAGGCACAGGTTGAGATCCCTTTGCGTCACCTTCTTTTAAGCCCATGTCTCCCCTGTGCTTTTTGTCTCCAGG